TTTACATAATGTTTCTTTATCTAATGCTACTTACATATAGTATTAAGAATTCACCAAGAATTTCCATGAGAACAGGAACTAAAGGAACTTGCGCGGGCAAACCTTGGAAATTAGTAAGTTAAAAATATGTATAAGTAATAGATTACACATCTAAATATTCAATTTCTTCTGTTATAATAATATCATTCATATATGTAGGTATACCGTATTCTTTTTCAGTTATTGAAAAGCAAAAGTTTTTTCTTATAAATATCCAAAAAACAAAATATTATCATGGCCATCACAGCAGCTACCCTTCAGGCTGGGTCGATCCAGTGTAGAGGGGTGGGGGCTCGCACCTTTTGTTTAGGACCCCCATTACCCCCTGTTCATTTACTCGCGTCCCGCTCTCAGTGCTGTTTGCAAACGGTTTAGGTGCCTAAATGTAGAGGGAAATGTCACGTTTTCACTTTTTGTGCTTGCATTAACTTGTCTAGTGTACCTAAGGGTGGTAAGGAGTGGGTATCTGTAGGCATAAAATACAGAATCAAGGGACAGCTTGCATAATATTCATTATCAATTAATATCATAGATCAATATGAAAAGATTTTTGTGGTCATTTTAAGAAATAATATTTTTTATACATTTTCGTTTCCTTTACTCAAACTTTTTTTTTCTGTAATGGATAAACTCAATAAATACCTTATTGTTTTTAAAAAATATTTCACATATTTCCTATATGCTACATTATTTGCGAGTAATATGACTATATTATTTAAAAAAAAAATAAGCTGGAGCTGTTCGTTATATTATGGACTATACTATTGGCTATATACATAGAGGTACAGCTGCTTGGCGGGAGAAACAAGAGCAAAATCAATCGATTAACTGTTCAGGGTTGTCAAGATCTTATTTCAATCAAAACTTTTGAGTTTTGAGATCATTCAAACCTGTTGGTTTTGTCATTAGAAGCAAATGACAAAACTGAGAGTTATTTATTACTTTTATTATTTTGGAGAGTATGTAATGCTGCTGTTCTGTAAAAGAGTCACAGTTTGGGTTTCTTGTACAACTATTAGATACGTAGAAATAGTATATAGAAACTAGTATAAATTCCCTTACGGGGAAGGGGAACTTTTTATATGAGATGTACATTGCCTGGTTCCTCATAACACAGGTTGAGGACCATGCGAATGGCGTGATTGTATGAAACTTATTTAATATTTACAGGCTCGATCTTCCTATGATTTTATATAAATAGATTTGGTAATAATTTTATTTATAACACTAAGTGGTAAACATGCATATGATCCACCTGATGGTAAGTAGTTACCGTAACTATGAACTGATACCAGAGGCATTATACGGATGTTGCCGACCCTGAAGAAACTTCTTTACCCTTTTTTGAACAATCCCATGCTGTAGTCTCTTGGAAAAATCTCAACAGGGAGCAATAAATACTCGTATCTCCTTTTAATCAGTATATAAGATCAGCCAATTGTTATTTCATTTAAAATTTTTATGATTTTTTTAATATCATTTAAAGAATAAATATAAATTTCATATTAACTCTATAAAAATACAATATACTGGTAGATATTTGTACATTTTTCTTAGTTTTTTTTATAACACAGGAAACAAACTCTTAGCACCACTCGCAACACCTGAGGAATGCCGGCATTTTAAAAAGGAATATGCTCTTTCTTTTCTTGAAGGTTAAGTACAAGTTGATTTTTATATTTATTTACAAGACTTTGTACAAATAGGCGACGGTTACCATCCACATTGCATTAGGTGAGTCGTTATATAGATTATTAGTTATACAAAGCTGTATTGAAAAAATAGTTCATTAACAGTTAAGTAATCATTGGGAAATTTTAGTTTTTGAACTCAGATACAAGAAACTTTTTTATTTCAAACTTAATTAAGTTGTTCAAGTTGGAGCTTCCGGAACAGGTCTTAGAAGATTTCTTGGAATTGTTCGAGATTTATTTTTATATATAACGCTTAACAAATTAAAATATGGTATTATTTTCTTTTTTTAATATGTAAATCGGTTCTTAGTAAGATAATTGTATAATTTATACTTACAGGCCAGAAAATAATTACTATTTTTTTTTTAATTTAGCACTAATAAATTATTTCGTAATTTACGAATTTATTATTGAATTATACATAAAAAAAACGTTTACAAGGCACGTAATATTTATTCGTATGAAATAATAGTAGATGTAACTGCTCTTTAAAAGTTCGGACATGATTGGATAGATTGTACTTATTATTATTTATTACCTTTACATATTAAATCTTTATGAATCGACATGCATGCCCGAGATAAGAATTTATATAAGGAAGCATTAAAACCACAAAAGAGTCAACAGTCGCTGATACTTGGTTCTATCTGCCATGTAGAATAGCATCAACACAGCATGTACTGGATGATAATGGAATGATAGCTCTGTCAGCGCTAACGGTATACGCTTGCGGGGCAACAGTAAGGAATGTCAGGTAAGAATGAAAAGGCAGCCCATCGTGATGAATACACCTGGGATTTAGCACGATAGTTTCCAGGTGGCCATGGGGAGGTCGACCTGACAGTGTATAATGCTAGCAATGGGACTGGGAGTCCGAATTACTAACAATCCCTTCCCCCTTGTAAGAGTTACCTATGTATCTAGCTTATTTACGAACATAAAAATACAACACATAGGTATCTAATTATTTTATATACCTAACACTTTCAAATTTTTTGGTAAATCAGCAGTAAATCAATAAACTATTATAATTTAGATTAAAAATAAAACTTAATGTTTAGCTAAATGATATGTACTATAACTAATATATTATTAAAAAAAAAAAATGTCCGCGTGTGCCACATCGATCGCATGGTTGACACGGCGGGTGTAAAGCTCCGCCTACAATTCACACGAAAGGTGATGATTGGCCCGAGCCAGCTTTTAGCTGGCTCCGACGGCTCGAAGTACGCACACACACACGCGCCTCGGTAACACCAACTCGAAGTTAATCTAATTTTCCGAGCGTTGAACAATTAGTGAACTGTTTTCTGAAAACCGAGCTAAGATTCAGCCGAATATTATACCTACAATATTTTGTTACATCTGAACGGGTAAATATAAGATTTCGAAATTCAGCGATAATATTAGGGATTATTTTTAACGATAGGTAGTCGTCAAACTACAGAAAATAGCAGTACTTAGTCTAACACTAATCCTTATAATCATAATTTTGGGTGGTATATTGCTGCTTCTTAAGATGGTAATATCACACAAAACTTTACCATATCGTCATAGTCGTAGAATACTGACGGAACTGACAAATATTACATATATAGATCCGTCAGTATTCTAAGATTATGACGATATATATGTACAAATACATATATACGATCCAAACATACTTTTTTTTTTAATCGTGATTATGGGAATTCTCCATCTGCGCTATCAATGTACGCTAGTAGGGGACCAGTGAGAGAATCATCTCTCAATCACCTATCAAGTCAGTTAGCTCATCGTGATTTAACAGTATATTGCTAGCAATGTACCTTGACAGTATAACTAAACAGTTGTTTGGTTATACTTACTTACGTAGTATGTAGTATCTCCTTTGTTTCCTCCACATTCATCAATCCATTCAATCATTCATAGAAGCTCGCTGGTTTCGATTAGGTACTTTTAACATAATCCCTTTTTAACACCATGCCACCTCATATGCTCGTCATATGCTCGCCAAGAGCGGCTTCTACCGATATCTTCAACCGAACGTGCTCGAAAAATCTCTTTTGCAATTTTTCTTATACTCATCCTCTCCAAATGACCAAAGACAACTTTACCACTATACCTCAAGGAGAATTTTACGAATTGTGGTTCTTCCTTTTTTGTTTTTGTTTTTTAATACTGAATAAGATGCGAGCATTTTCTTACTAAACATTAATCCTCGAAGAATGTTTTGTTATTTCAGTAGAGTTAAACCAACTTTACATTCAGAAGTAGGTATAGGTTTCTTAATGTAAGCCAAATTCCTATACAAAGCATATCCAAAGGAAAAAAAATTGTTGGTCCGGTAAAAGACTGGAAGATCATAATATACCATAAATTAAACATTACATTACCATAGGCATTGAGTAAAAGAACATTTATAGAGTTACCACAGACAACAATCATTCGTGTGTTAACCAAAAACGTAATGTTAACACCGGTTGTACAAAAAAAAAACATCTACACATGAAATCTAATTCCGATTCCATACAATCGAGCATCACAAGAGGGCAGATGTGCGTACGCATCACAAACAAAAGCTCACATTTGTAATACGAATTAATACGTCTAATTTTACAACGGGCAAAAAGGCCGGCGCAAGCGCATAATGCCGACGTGTTTTGTTCGCGCCTTGATCGACGTATCTGATAATTTAAATATGTAGACGCATTCGGGCGCGATCGACTGTAATGCGTCTGAGCAGGCGTACAACCAGATCGTGTGAGTAGGTACAAGTATGTTGTTCAATGTAGAAAATATAATTTTGTTTGGTTTTATTTGAGCAGATATTGCCTATCATGGAATAGATGTTACATTATTTTGTTGCTATACTATTTATAGTGGCAATGCAAAAGCAAAAGATATTTTAAGACAAAATTGTAAGTAAAAAGAAAAGAATACACAAATAATGTAATGTTTACTAATGGGAGAGAAGTATAAAAGTCTTTTTCTCACATTTCTTCGATAACTGTTTTATTAATAACAAAAGATATTTCAAGCACTATCAACTTCTTCGGTGAAATTAACTTATTTCATAAACCACCATGTAGGAGATTTTTAAGTAAACATAATCAACTAATGAAGATATGCTTTCTACGTAATCGAGTGGATGGATCATTTTGCTGGAGTTTCTCGGTTACATTAATTTCAACTACCACGCAGACGAAGTCGCGGGTATAGTTAGTGAAGTATAAGATAACACAATGTAAATTGAGTTCAATTAATGAAAACAAGTTTTAAACTCACCAAAAACTGGTCTCTCGAATTTTTTCTCTGGGCTTACTTTCGATGGTGTGGCAATGTAGTTTGCTGCGCCTTCCATTTTCTTCAATTCGGGGTAATCAGAGAAATAACTTTCCACTTGAATTTGTCCGATACGATCTGAAATAAAAAAATAAAAAATTTGGTTATGACATACTAAAAATTTTAATAGAAATTACAGACATGAACTTGTATAGATATTGTAAATTTTTGGGCCTTAATTAGGCTCAATATTGACTTTGGCTAAATTCTACGTAAACATTGAAAAATTTTAGGGAATTGATAATCCACAATTTGACACACCACCTTTCTTTCAACAGTTGTGGGTTCCAGTCACGCATATACAAACATCTGTATCCATAATCTGTATACATTGATCTTATAATCTGTTTGTATTGGTCTCCGTGTTTTCTATGAATAATTACGAAAAAAAGTTTTTAGGTATTCCTAACAGTTGTTTAGCGCCTATAATATAAGCTCTGTTTAGTTTCGGACTAGATTCTTTTTATTTTCGAAATAATTTAGTGCGAAGGGTTTTCTATTAATAGAATTGTAAATAGTTCAGTAGTAATACACTTAGTTTTCATATTGGGATGCTTGCGGCATCTATTTCTATTTATGTCCGTGGTTGAGTTATATGTTAGTTTTAGGAGACGTGAGGGAAGTCAGTGCATAATATGTCTAGTTTACGACTATTAAACTACTGAACTGTGGCGGAAACACAAAGATGGTAATTAAACATACAACCTGCTTTCTGCTTAGCATGATTTATCGTAGTTAACTGAAAGAACAAGTGCAAGAACAATTTAGTTTTGTTCTTGTACTTGTTCTTCCAGTTAACTACGATAAACCATGACGTAATTTTGCTAGAGAACATAAAATATGGACGTAGATTAAAGAATTTGCAAGTGCAAAACACAGTAGGTTGGTTATATCTACTGTTAAACTAACAAGAGTTGAAGTAAATATGTCTTAGTATAGACCACAAAGCTGCTAATAAGGGATGAAGATCTACGATTTAGAGCGATGGCATGTGGTTGTAAATGACTGGAAACGAAGAGCTGAAGTTCGTACTGAGTGACGTGTCTTGGAAAAGGCCTAAGGCCGGTATTGTACTGTAGTGAACTGATAAGGTGATAACGACAATACAGGTATTATATTATTAAAAAAAAATCAGAACATTTTAATTTAAGATATACTTCAAGTAATTTAAATACAATTAATTATACTTTGGTTTGTTTCAAAGGTTGTTTCTTATATAACGCTTTTGTCATCACGTAAGTAATCATCGAACTTTGAGAGCAAATTTTTTTATTTCCTGAAACAGCCGTCGGAAACCGCTAAACGCCCCTCCCCTAGCTCTGTTAACACAAAGAGCTGTAAAATCCGTGCAATTTGTACCCTCGTCTCTTGCCGTGTATGTATATACTTATCGATTTATCGCAAACACAACTCAGTTTTAAAAAGTCGAGGCCTGACTCTCTGTGCGGTAATCGCTCTTGTTACTCCTGCTCACAGTTCAATTTCTGTTGATCCCAAATCGGTGCATAGGATTTCTCGGTTCGGTGGTGGTGTGTAAAAATGCCGTCTTGTCGTAGGCATGCCGCCCCTCCCCGGGCGACATTTTTACAAGAGGGGGAGGGGTGGAGGCCACCCGCGGACGCTCCCGTCATTTCGTTGTCATCCAGGGCTAGGGTTACCAGACTCAGTCATGAGATTTCCTGACAATGTTCCAGACTTTTCTGTATGTGATATGTGAAAGCAGCGATATTTAAAGGCAATAAAAGATTTGCAGTTGCTAAAAGCTACATCAAAAACAAAAAAAGTAAAACTATAAACTGATACGAGTAGATTGAATAAACAATTTAAAATAGTAAAGAATCAACTCAAAGAATATTTATTGATTTTAAAAATTCTTTCACCATTAGAAATTTATCAGACTAACAAATTCTGCATATTATTTTAAAAAAATTAGAAATATATATACCTTGCTAGTAATTAATAATAAATAAACTTTTTAGGGTTTGATTATTACTTGATACCAATAGGGTCAGGGATTGCTAGTATACCATTTATTTATAAGTGTATTACCATTGCTAGTAATATACTCTATCTGGTCGACCTTCACACGGAAGGAAACCATCGTAGTTAATTCTTGTGGAATTTGTCGCGATGGGCTAATTGACCTTCTTTCATCCTCACCTGTCATCTTTCACTGGCGTCCCACCAGCGTATTCTGATAGCGCAAGCGGGGATATAATTTCATTTTCATCCATTTAAAAAAATATGATTAATAAACAAACACATTTTGGAAAATTTGAATCAAGTCTTCTTCTATGAAATGAAAAAGACCTATTAAAAACCGCCTGGTTATTAATTTTATTTAAGAATATAAACTTTTTACATTAATTGTATATAATAAGAAAATCCTAGCAATTATATTTCTTCCTTGTTTCCTCGAGAGAGAGTCAAAATTCCAGACGTGTCAGGAGAAACTTATCGCTTGGTAACCCTAATCGGGGCTCCTTTTTGCGCGATCACGGCGCGAGCGTCGGCGTCGACAATACTGTTCAGTATTTTTATTCTTTTCGTAGAGAAAATACGAAAAAATTCGCAGAAAAAAAAATCATGAACAATGCTGCCCTTCGGCGAGATTACCGCCATCAGAAAATGAATGCTTTGTTAGATCCGTCCAACGGAATGTTTTCAGTTGTTACATTAGTCTTGTCATTTCCATTAGGTGGGCTTAGCCGGGCGTTTACAGTCGCCGAATACATAGGTAGGTAGTTTTACAAATTATAATAATAATTAAGTACTAATTAAGTCACTTATCTATTATTAAAATACTTATTTTCTTAGTAATCTAGTATGCAAGTGTGTTATTCTCGAAGAATGGAAATTGTTTGATGTATTTTTGCAGAGATACTTGAAAATGCGACTGAGATGGATAAAATCCCAGAAAAAACGTAAATAAAGCCAAACGGCTTGGTATAAGGTTTTAATTCGCGTACAAAAGTCGTGTAGTTGGGCAACTTTGTCCCATTCGTATATCTGACAAGTAGCTGGTCTTGGCTGTATTTCGGTTTGAAGAATGAGATAGATGAGACGATTCTCTTCAGAAATGGCAACGCAATGGCAATGGGTACTATGATCACAATGTATTCTGTAATGTCCATGGAGTTGTATATCCGTGCGTTTGTATGTGTCAGATATTATTTTCTATAAGGTTGTTTGTTAGGGTTACCAATCGATAAGTATTAATTTATATAAAACAGTGGTATTGTGCTTCACTCTTTCATTCGATTCGTTACGGTTGATTTTTACCTTATTATGTTACAAGGAAGTGTTGTTGCAGAAAGAGAAAAATTCCCGTTGTCAGCTGCGGAACTGCAATATATCTAATCTTTTATGCATTACACATTGCAAGTGTATTATATTCTATTTTATCGCCCAATAAAGTATTCCGAGGACTGTTCCTCGTTCGCACAAGTATTAATACTTATTTTTTTTCACATAACTGATATGATTGGCGGCACATTGCGGCCGAAGTTAAAGCTTTGTAGGATCTACCGATTTGTATGAGCATCGCATTACACTGCCGCGCGCCGCTTTGATTTGCACACCCTTTCATAGATTTAATAAAAAGAGCCAAACCATAGACATCTTGAGGCAGTGCCGCTTTAGTTTTTTTTTATACTTAATAACCTTTATTTAAATGCGCTAATTATGACTCGGAATTTGCTCAAATGAATTCAGTTAAAAAATGTCGTATGTATTTGTTTATCCGGGATACGATTTATATTGAAATCCATCAAGGTTCTAAGCGTGATAATCCGCAGATTTCTATATAGATACTTTTATAGAAATATATTTTATTAGGAATATGTGTGCCGCGTGGTCCCGATGTAGAAAAGGCCACCCCTTCCTTTTCCGTGGGTGTCGTAAGAGCTGACTAAGGGAGGGCGAGGAATGGGCAACCGCGTATTTTTTCAAATATCTCTAAAGCCTGACTGCAGTTGCCAATCCGCCTGCCAAGCGTGGCAACTATTGGCAAAAGTCAAGGGGAAGGCTTATGTTCAACAGTGGACAATTAAAGGCTAATATGCTAATGATGGATATTTATTAGTAGGGCTGTAAAGCCCTTTTAGTGTGATTAAAAAAATAGTAAAACTCCATGTGAAACTCTGTTAATATGGAGAGATCGTGAGATTTCTACATTAGGTTAAATATATGTACGAATTCAATTAAAATTGTGACGAAATTATAATTCGTGTAATGTGGTTAAAAAACCTGTCAAATCACCGAAATTAGCATAGACGTAAGTACCTACCAAAGTGTACATGAAAACTAAGTATGTCTATTTTAAATCACTTGCAACTTATGCAAATCATGAATGAAATGATTAGCACAATGTTCTAATTATATAAATAACCAGATAATTTTAATTTTAGTTGCTGAGGATGGTCTGATTCGCCAAGCATACTCAAGAAACAATCAACTAAAATAAAAAAAATACACAAGTAGATACATAAAGGATTCTCATATAATTTATATTTACTTATTGTAACGGTGATGGTAACTAGATACCATTACATGATGCAATAAATAAATATATGCCCTTATATCAATTATTTAGGATCAGCGTAATATGATTTTATTCAACACAAGGTTTTAGGTTTTGATTTTACGACAGATTGCCTGGCTGATGTCCTTGGGAATAGGTACATTTGTTTGTGGCAACCGTATATGGTATGAAGGAAAGAATCGAGGAAATAGGGATACTAGAGTTGCGGAGAGGATACTGGTCAGGAACTACAGTTCATACTCGGGTGCCGTTACTCTAGAATCGGACTGATCAATTAAGGAGCAATACACAGTACCACTGGCAAAATACGGTTTATCAACGCAACACCAATTACCATTATTATCGTATTACCACCTCTGTCTCACTGTTCTTTTTGTAGTCAAGCAGTAATGCAAATACGGATATATTTTCGTTTGAAAAGGATATGATAGTAGAGGGAGTTAAATCATAATATCCTAGTCTTCAGGACTGGTAAAATATGAGGAATATTACAAGCTTCACACTGTATTTTGTGCTGTGCACGATGCTGTTTATA